TATGACACGAAAATCCCATGCAAACCTGAGGGATTCACTCAACATTTCCCCCCAACCTCACCTCGCCCACACCACGACCCTGCCCTCACAAATTCTTTTTCTCCCCTTTTTTTCTCCCTCCCTGTCCCAGGTTCACCTCCACCCCTGCATCACCCCACCATGTCCTGCTGCTACTCCCCGTGCTGCTATAGCCTGTGCTGCTCCCCCTGCTACCGCACCTGCACCCGCACCTACAGCTGCAACCCCTGCATCTCCCGCACGCTGAGCTGCTGCCGCCGCTCCTACGGCAGCTGCTGCACCTCCCGGCGCTGCACCACGCGCTACTGCTACCCCTCGTGCTGCACCACGCGCTGCTACTACCCCTCGTGCTGCTCCTACTCCTGCTGCTACCCCTGCTGCTGATCCCACGGAAAAATCCCCATGAATGGACCCACGGAAGACGAACGGATGAGCCCTCTGTTGATGTTTGCACAAGTGCAGAGCCACCACGGTGAAGTCACCACCAGTGGGGGATTTGCTGTGCTCTGAAACCTCTTGGAATTTCTGGGTTTTGTTGTTGTCTCTGTCTCCTTCTTCTTGCCTTTCTCAACTCTCCTGATGTTCTGCGTTTAAAGCCTCCCAAGGCCCCTTCAGCAACGGGAGGGGCGATCTGCAATTCATGTGAAACTTCTCAGAGTTGCTGCAATGGGGCTGGAGGACCTCTGTGAAATTAGATTTGGTGTCATCTGCATTTTCAATAAGCACTTCCAGCACAGCTCTGCAGCCCTGGGTGAGGGAGCGTTACGGCTGTCTCGCCTTTGATCTGCTTTTACGAGGACCTGAAGGATGAACAACACAACTTCAGCAAAAAGGAATGTTCTGGAGAGCAGTGACTCATCTCCCGGGGCTGCCTCCAGCATCCCAAAACTATAATCTTTCTGTATCTGTGCCAGCTCTTTTTCTTGTTCTATTAAATACTTTCTGCATTTGAAAAAAACCTTCTAGAGATCCAGTTGTTTTCTTGCCTGTGTCCTTGGTTTGGGTGGATATTCTGGGAGTTGTGGAATTCTGAAGGGATTTTCTGGACTCGAATCTGTGTCCAGCTCTGGGTCCCTCATGGCAAAGGGGACATTGAGGGGCTGGAGAATGTCCAAGGAAAGGAACAGACTTGGAACAGCTCGAGAAGGGTCTGGAGAACCTTGACAGAGGCTCAGCCTGGAGAAAAAGGGGATCCAGGGGGAATTTCGGGCTCATCCAGGGGGAATTTCGGGCTCTTCCAGGGGCAATTTGGGATCTGATCCCAGGGAACAGAACAAGGGGAAATGGTCTCGAGCTGTGCCAGGAGAGGCTCAGGTTGGACATGAGGAGAAATTTCCTCCTGGTCAGGTCTTGGAAGGGGCTGCCCAGGAGGAATGAGGACATTTTTTTTTTGTCTTTAGGAATATTTGCCTTTTTCCCCTGACTTTCCTCCCCCATTTTCTGGCTTTTAGTCCTTGGATTTAGTATGTTATTGAAACTGCACCCATAAAAATGGATTTTATTCAGCTCAAATGGATTTTCTTCTGTTTTGTGTGGAAGATCAAGGGGGTGGTTTGATTTTTCCAGGCCAACATCGACACAAGCAAAGCCACCATGGTTCCCTCTTATCCTGTCCCTCTTCCCTGGGATCAGATCCCAAAATTCTCCCTGGAAGAGCCCAAAATTCCCCCTGGATTCCTCTTTTCTGCAGGCTGAGCCCCCTGCTCCCTCAGGATCCTCCATTCCCTTTTATTCCCTTTTCCAGCTGCTCCAACTCCGTTCCCTTATCTGGACACACTCCTGCCCTTCAATCTCCATCTTGGCATGAGAGGCCCAGAACTGGACACACGATTGAGTTCATAATTTTATCTCCCAATCCTTTTGCTGTGAACGATTTCATATTTGTATGTCCTCCATCCAATTTCTGCCATTAATTCAAATTTAGAATAAGAGTAAATAAAGAGCAAGCAGGATGCTGAGGCTTCCTCAGGATTTTGGATGCCAAAGACTTCAAGCTCTTTGAGAAACTTAAATGACAAATAAACCCAGAAATGCTGAATTGATGCAGAAAAGAAATCTTTAATAGAAACGAAACACAGAGATAACTTTGAAAGGATACAGAATGAAAAGACCACACTCCCAAAGTCACATAACACCCAAATCATCCAGTCCGAAGCAATTTTTTGTACAGCCAAAAACATGGAATTCGGTTTGCTTGGAGGATTGAGGAGAAGTTGTGGGTTGAGAGGAGAGCTGGGGCAGTGGGATGAAGGCAAATCACCTCCATCCCTTCAGCAGCAGCGCAGAGCTCTCGGAGCACCCCGGCCATGCCTCTTGTCCCCAAAACTCTGCCCAGCCACGGTCTCCACTGCTGGACTCTCCATCAATCCCACCAAACCCGGGCTGGGTTTTGAGGTGGCTCCATCCAGCTTTAGTAGCAACCCCCAAAGCTGAACCTTCGGCCGTAGCGGGAGCCAAAGGGGAACCCGTAGCGGCCGGAGTAGAACCCGGGGTATCCATAGCAGTCCCCATAGCCATAGAGGCCCCGGTAGCCCCCGTAGAGCCCCCTGGAGCCGTAGCAGTCCCCGGAGTCGAAGATGCCCCGGTAGCCGTAGAGGCTCCCGTAGCCGTAGCGGTCCCCAAGGCCATAGAGGCCGCGGGAGCCGTAGAGGCTCCCGTAGCCGCGGTAGCTGCAGGGGCTCCCGCAGTCATAGCCCCGGTAGCCGTAGAGGCCCCCGTAGTTGCAGGAGGAGTAGCAGTCGTCGTCGCACTGGCCTTGGAGGAAAGTCATCTTTGGGAGATGGAGGTAAAACCTGCAACGGGAAGGAAAGGATGAGGGGTAAATACTCCAGGAGTACAACCTCAGAGCACGAAATCTTCCTCACTGGTCCCGTGAGAACAAGGGCAGAGGAAAAATTATGACCTCAGCTGCTACTTTAATGCCCCATTTGTATAATCTGCTCATCTACACGCTGCCTTTAAATGATTTTATATTCTACATTCATGTAGATTCAATATATTCATATTAAACTATTTCTATTAAACACTTTTGTATGTAATGCGTGTTCCTGGCATTGGTGGAACCCCTGATGGAATCAGCAGCCACAGATCAAAACCTTGCTGCTGCTTCAGGGTTTTTCCTGAGGCAATTAGCAACCCTAACTTTCTTTTACAATATCAGCTTTCTATGGAGCTCAGCATTCCTGATGCCATCAGGAAAGTCTTCACAGAATTTTCCTGTGATAACACCCCTCAGCTTTTGGCTCCATCGCCCTAAGACCCATTTCAGCACATTCCACCCATTTTGTTTTGCACCTGGAAATGCTGAGAGCCCACAGAAGAAACCACAGAGTGTGGACACACATGAGAACATCTGTGTGGCCAGACAGACCCAAAATCCAACATAAAATAGGAGATTTAAGAAAAAAACCCACCAAGAGTCGTGGTGGGGAAACCCTTTCCTACCTCTGCTGTCCTGAAAATCCCTTATCAGGGAACCCAGGTACCAACAGGATCAGGAAAGTTCCACCTGCAACTTTAAAAGCTGAACCCAGCAAGCCCAGGTAAAAGGAACAGCAAAATCTAACAGTTCAGAGGAGCCACAACACCAACAGAAATTCTGAAAGGAAAATTCCCAGTGCAGGGGAAGAAAGGAGGAAAAGCTTACCGAGTTCACCAGGAGGAGAAGGCAGGAGAGCTGATGAGGAGCCCTGAGCTCCCAGCCCTTTTTATACTCCAGCTTTGCCCTCCTGGCTTATCTCAGACGCCCTGTGGATTCAAAAGCTCTGGAATCCTACTGGTTGGCAAACAAATTTGCCTGTACGCGTCATATCTTCAATTAATGTAATTTTCCTCATTGTTTGGGATTATTAGTGTGTTCCCGTATGTCCTATGTATTACAGGTTTCTTTCATCTTAACATTTTCTGGGCCAGCAACATTCCTGATACCATTTTACTGCCTCCGTTGTCAAATCTGAATTTTTTTTTAGTATTATAGAAATGCTGTTTCTGATTTCTCAAGGTCATTGGAGAGACAGAAGTTTTCAGTAAAAAAAGAAAACTTTCCAACATGTTTGAAAGTATTTGTGTTCAGTAGGAAGATGCACCATGGGGTTTTATCTAAAGGAAATGTAAATGTAGGGATTTTACATCAAACCTCATCAACTTCAGGAAAAAGGAGCAGAATTATAAATAAATCTCAATTCCAAAGTGCTCCTGAATCAAAGCCATGCTGCTGCAGGAGCAGGAAGAATATTTTTAACAAAAATCCAACTGCATTTTTTGCAGTGTCATTCACCGGAGGCTTGACCCCAGTTCAGCAGAGCAAAGTATAGAATTCCAGCCTCAATTTGATCTGGAAATAAAGAAATTATCAGATTAGCACTAAAATAGCATTAAATGAACACTAAAAGACCCTGCTGGTATTTTTTTCCACAAAGAATCGCCACGTGCAGAAGTTGTGATAGGGAGGAACTGTGGAGTTTAGGGCAGAGCTCCTTGGGTGACCTTCACCTAATTTCTGGCATTAATTTGAATATAAAATAAGCGTAATAATGAGCAAGCAGGATGTTGAGGCTTCCTCCGAATTTTGAATACCAAAGCACTTCATAAACCCTAGTTGACGTTTTCAATTTGCAAAGTGTTGCTGGATTTAAATATTAATAGTTTGCCACCTCCAGATTTAATAATACGGTCACTCCTCAAGGTCTCTGCTTCCTGAGCCATATTAAGGTGATGCTGTTCCATGAATGACAAAAATTATCCCAAAAAAAAAATCACTTAAAATTGGAAGGAATATTTGGGAATGCCCACAAGGTGGTTGGAAAATGTCTTTGGGTTGTTGTTGGAGAAGCTGGGATACGAATCCCCTGGGAGACTCCACCACGAAGGTCATGGAGATGCTGAGTGGAGGCTCCTCAATGCTCAGGACACCAAAGCAAATCCTCTCTCTGTCCTCCGCCAGCGGCACCGGAGGCGCTGACGCCAAGCCGATGGACAACCTACGAGGCCCCTGCCTTAATAATCTGAATATTTCCCCAAATAAATATCTCGCCAAATTAATAAATATCTCCTCAAGTATCTCCCTGGTTTGGCCGCAAGGAATTCAGCGGCAATTTGCCTGGAAATACTTTAAGATTAAAGAAATTCTAAAGGTTTTACCTAGACGCCGCGACGCCAAGCGCAGAAAATATGAAAATCGTTGTGACGTAGGTTGGAGGAATAAGGAGTGGCATGACCCACTTCGGAAGGTATAAGACCCCTGCGTCCGAGAAGTCATCCACTCGTCTCGACTTCTCCTCTCGATTTCTCTTCTCAGCGAAGCAGAGGTATGTATTGGCTCTACTCTCCTGTGCGTATGTTTCTCTAAATATTTCTTTATAAGCAAGATTAAATATAAAATATGAATATGGATATGAACTTGGATATGGATATGAATACATATTAACTTCATAGTGATTTTTTATTTATTTATTTGAAAGGTACTGCTGTGTCTGTATATTTTATAGCATATATGTACAAACCTGTGTCTATATGCAGGTACAGACATTCTGTAGGAAATTTCTTGTCGTTTTAGAGCCAACGCCAAGCCCAAAATTCCCTGCAATCTCAAGGAATTTTGCTCTTCTACTCAAGGCTTTTTGCTCCTCTTTCCTGTGCTTTTTGAAATATTAGGCTTTAAAGAGCTTAAAACTGGAAATTTGCTACCACAATCTTGTAGTAAGAAGTAATTGTCTGTTCTGGGTTATATTTATTGCATTTTTCTTTCATTTTTTACATTTCTCTGATTTCTGGGGCAGGAAAGCTTAGCTCTCAGCTGGCAAAACCCTCATTCACTACGTTTAGTCAGCAGTTTCCAAAAGTTGACAAGGGGAAAAAAAAGCAAAGTTGTTTGGGATTGAGGAGATTACAGAAATAAACGAGTTAATTAAGAGGGTTAAACCGATGCACAGGAGGGACCGAGTCGGAGCCTTTGCTCTGCCCTTAACAGCTCATAAATTTTGTTTCTGGGTGTGTGTTCCAGGCTCTCCAAATCAACAAGGATGAATTCCTTCAAGGAGTGCTGTGACAACGCTTGCAGCGCCCAGGGCGGCAATGACAACTTTGGTGGCTTTGGCCGCTCCAGCTTCCATCCCAGGCGCTCCTTCAGCTTCTACCGGGACCAGTGCCAAGATGTGACCCCATCTGGTTTCAGGAACATTGGAAACTTCTTCCACCCCTCCGGGAACATCCATGGGGTCGTCTACGCCAACCTGAATGGGGACATCGTTGGGAAGCTCTCAGGGAGGATTGAGGGGCTCCCAGGGCTGCTGGGTTGTGTGGGTAACTTTGGTAACTTGGGAAACATGGGATTAAGTCTCCCCTTCTCTGTTCAGTTTGGGGACAGAACCCTCTGAGCTGTTCCCAGCAGGAGTAGCTCCCCCGGGATGGAATGCAGGACATGGATTCATGGCTTTGGTTACGGTACTGAGGAACGCCGAGCGCTCGCACCTCTGATGGATGTGTGGGCGCCAGGCTGTGTAGGACACTCCATATAACCCTCTGTAGGATCTCCTGTCTCTCTAGCTGTCAGTTTCAAAGGGCTGAGGCACCTTTAGAGCACTTTGGTGGAGTGGGAAGAGACTTTTGGGTGTGAGGAAAGCGCTTCTTTAAGTCCATCCACAGCGACTTTGTGTGGAACTTTCTGCAAAGAATCCACTTTGTTCAACTCTGACCAAAAGTGGCTTTTAGCAGAGGAGCTCCTGTTCTCAGTCCCTGCTGCACCTCACCTGACAGTGAACACAAAAAAAGAAACACATTTGGACTGGAAAACTCCACCATTTCCACCAGGAAAATCATCGCCCACCATTGGGAACGCTCTGCTCACCAAAGCCCCTTCTGTATCTCTGCCAACTTTTTCTTTCTGTTCCTCACTGCTTCTCATTTCCATTAAAATTACTGCAATCAAAAGCTTCAAATGTCTGCTCTGTTTTTGTCTGGGCACTTTAAAGGGACCCCCAGCCACCCTCAGGAGCCCTGCAATGAGAGGGCAGGCCAGGCTCCGGATGCTAGGGACTGTCACCACATCTCCATCTCAATGGCTCCTGCCCTGACTCATTTCCCCCAGCAGAAGGAGAAACCTTAACTAACCCTTGACTTTGGGCTTACCCAAATATTTCTCCAGAAAGAGGCATCGCTTGGGTGATTTTTGCCCCCAGAGAGGGTCCTGGGTGATAAATCACAAAAACAAGAGATTGAGGGGGATCTCGTGGCTGTCCAAGGCAGGAGATTGGTGATGCTCGAGGTTAAAGCCACCCAAGACGAAAGACCAAAGGCAGCTAAGCCATGGCCAGCTGCTGGAGGGTTCAGCTCCTCTGCAGATGAAGCAGCCGGTTCTTCAGGGAGCTTCTGCCATGCCCCTGCAGGAGCACTGCTTTGGGTTTGGCATGCTAAAGATGATTTAGGTCCAAAACATTAAAGATTATTTAGATCTAGTAAGCTAAAGATTATTTCGGTCTAAAATATTAAAGATTATTTTGATTTGGAATAATTAATATTATTTAGGCTTCAAATACTTGCGCATTATTTAGATTTAGAAGCGTAAAAATTACGTAGGCTTCAAACACGAAGGATTGTTTAGATGTAGAATATTAAAAATTATTCAGGTTTTGAATACTAAAGAGGATTTAGGTTTAGAATACTAAAGATGATAGGTGTTTCAACAAGCAGAGCCCAGGCAGAGCTGCCTGGATCCCCTGTGAGCCCAGTTCCACATCAAAGAGCTCAGCAGGAGTCAAAAACGTTATTGCAGGAGTGACTTTGTGGGGTCACCTCTGGGCTGATCTCCC